ATATGTCATTTGCAAATATCTTCTCCCATTCTGTCGGTTGTCTTTTGGTTTTGTTGACTGTTTCTTTTGCTGTGCAAAAGCTTTTTATCTTGATGAAATCCCAATAGAAATATAATGCTTTTTTTATTAAGCCAGTTGATTTTATAATAATGAATGTCCATGTTTTTAAACACACAAAAAAATAATTGTCTTTAGGGGATTGTAAAATACTAAGAAGGAAGAATTTATGTATGAAGATAACTACAGCTGGGGCCCCTGGGTGGCTCAGTCAGTTAAGCATCTGCCTTCGGCTCAGCTCATGATCCCAAGGACCTGGAATCGAACCCTGCATCGGGATCCCTGCTCGGGAGAAGGCCTGCTTCTCCCTCTGCTGCTCCCCCTTCTTGCGCTCTCTCTCTCTCTCTCTCTGTGTGTCAAATAAATAAATAAAATCTTAAAAAAAAAAAGATAACTACAGGACTGGACGGAATATGATCCGATGTCACTCTGGATTTAGTGCTGTGTGAGTTCACAGGCAGAGAGGAGTGGGATGAAGCAGTAGGAAAGGTTTTGAACTGAGCCTTAAAGAACCTCCAGAAGTTAGGCTGCAAGGAGCCAGGGAGGTAGGGTAGTTAATAAATGCAACATAGATATGGAAATTAAACATATTTGGGGGAACAGAAAACAAGTCAACCTGACGGTCCAAGGGTTTTATTGGACAGTATGACAGCATAACTGCATAGTGAATTACGCTCAAGGGAAATGATTAAATAGTCATTAATTTAATTAAAACATGATGCTAATTAACTTAGAATGGATCTAAGAGGCAAAGGAACCCGGGGCAGTTTCTCACCAGAGGAGAGAGTCCCATTTTAAATTGCTAAGCCTCTTGTATACTCAGACGAGCTTATGCCTATATATTTTGGAATCTGTATGTATTTTAGCTTCAGACACACAAAAATACTGACATCTAATCTCAGAGCTGTTGGTTGGAATTACCTTTAAAAGAAAGATTGATGGTGATAGATAGATGATTGATAGATACATAGATAGATAGATAGATAGAAGAAAGGGCTATTTAATTTGGAAAATAATCAACAATCTAATGCCTGATACAGAGGATATGAGTGTTGAACTTTTCTTTGAATGAATAAATAATGATGGAAAAATTGACATTCTTATATCATAAATGCAAAAACGTGTTCAAGAAATGAAATGAACTCATGAAGCTTTTTGGAGTATACTTTTAAACTAAAAATTTTATTTTTCAACCATAGTTTATATATTTTAAAGTTTAAAACACCATATTACGGGAAAAAACTTGAATATAAATAGAAATAAATGAAGTAACAGTATTTCACACTGAACAAACCACAGGGGTAAAAATCAAAGATAGAGAAATAATTAGTGTGTAACTCTTTAAAATATCATGCTCTGATCATTGACTATCTATGAGATACATTCTAAAGAATAAAAGGATGACAAATCTGAAAAAAAAAAAAAAAAAAGAAAGTGACCTAGAATTCATTAAACTATCACCTTAATATCTGTAAAAATTGTGGAGTCTTATCCAATAGGAAATATATGGGGAAAAAAAGTGCAGGATAACATCAAGTTCAGAAGTCTTTATACTTAGAAGGAAATATATTTAAATATCTTTGGAGCTAAAAAATAACGAAAGTCCATCAAGTGGCATAACAGCCTAGCCGAGGGCGGCAGATTTTCATGAGTAGGTGGAAAAGACAGATAATTTTAAGGGGGACTCCAGCTCAGGATGGTGCCTTCCCTGTGCTTTAAAAGGCCAAGAGACAGCTCGTGTGGAGAGTCTGATAGAGTGACCATAAATAACAGGATTCAGCATGTGCCATTAGGCTCACCGTCAAGAATCCTGTTCCATTCAGTATCTGGGTCCAAGAGCTCAAGGAGCAGACTAGGTATTTCCCAACATTGCCTGTCATAAATAAATCACTTCCTTAACAGTAAGCCTATTTTATCGTGGGAAGAGTTACAATTAAGTACAGTAATGTTTAAGAGAATCAAACTCATAATGATATTTTTGTGTTAAGAAATTATACATGTGTAGCATTTTAGGTATCTATAATTTTGAAAATAATTTTGTCTATGTTGATTAGTCTTGTAGGTCTAATTTATAAATGTTTAATTGAGTAACAGATTTAGGCTTGTGATTTTAAGTTGAAATCTCACTAAGTTTACACACTGTAGCAAAACATTTAAGAGCACTTAGCTTTGGGGCCACTGCGTGGCTCAGTCAGGTAGGCCTCCAACTCTTGATTTCAGCTCAGGGCATGATCTCAGGGATAATGGTCATGACCCAACCTCCCATTTCAACAATGAGCTGGAAGGTAATGTAGTTGAGGCTGCACTGAGCATTTCCCAAGCAAAGGAGACTGGAAGTTACAGAAATCACTGAAGAGTTGGTGTCCTATCAACAGCCAATGTTGATACTGGGCTGAGTTATGTAAGAGTTTCTTTACTTTGTTTATGGCAAATGAAGCATGAGATACCCACAAAAGGAAGTTTCGCAAAGACTCAGGAATTGAGACCCCAGGGTTTTGGAAGAGTTGAGATAAAATACAAATAAAAATAAGGAAGGGCACCCTCTCCCACTCCTTCCTTGGTGAAGGCTTCCATAAAGTTACAACAATGCTATTCAAATTTATTGTTCATTTCAGGGACTAGAGGCAGACAGCCTCAGACTGTGGCTTTAGACCTGAACCAAATATTCCTTCACTGAGAACTCACTGAGTTGCATCTCATTTGCATTCTTTCCATCCAGAGACTGGAGGAACGGATATTTCTGCTTTCTCATAAAGACTGCTAGAATATTTGCACTTATATCAGTTTTCAAAATTCCAGCCCTGATCTGGTTTCGGCTTATTATTCTGAGTCCCTACTCAGGCCTACGTACCAGCAATGCCATTTTCATGAACTGCAGCTGACAGCTCACTCTTTTGAAACACAACTTGCCAAAGTTATAGAAGCTTGCTGGACTAGAAAAGATATGGGACATGCATGGGGCAGAATGCCATAATCACATGCCGACATCACAGGCATGTGGGCATTTCATATGCCAGAAGTGCACTCAGGTTTATCATATTATTCAAATAGAGGCCTATATTATTCAAATAGGTGGCTTTAGGCACCCACATCAATTTTTTCCAACCCTTATATAAAAAAAAAAAATGAATGTGTCTAGTTCTTTGGCCTAAAAAATCTACTCACCTCCCTCTCCAGTATCACTGTGATAATACCAGACTGGGTTAGGCTTCTGGATTTGTGAGCGCTTCTGCAATGCCATGGAGCTTCAGGATTTAATTGCCCACATTTCACCTCCAGCTGCCCATGAGCCTGCTTCCTTTCTTCTATAGTCAATCAGCCCTCGAGGATTCCTGAAGCCCTCCTTACCTTTGCTGTCACGACAGAGACAGGCCCTTCCGACTAACATGGTACTAAATCAGCTGTCATTGGCTTCACTTTGTCTCAGAGATTCTAGATTCATAAAATGTGACAGCCAGAGAGTGCCTCATCCAGTTCAATTCCCTTACTTTAGAGAGGACATGGTGATTGCTAAAGTCCTGGAGGATGGTTAATTGTAGAGCCAGAATTAGAAATAAGATTTCTTGACTCTCCACTAAGTGTTACTTAGTGTGAGACTAGGTAAGAGCTCTGACTTTTTACCCAGGTAATCCATAAAATACTTTTCCTTATTTTAACCCCTCCATTATTTCAGCAGAGGGGACAGTATGGTGGCCATCCTATGCTGTGGTGATGACTTTTTACTCTATAGATGACATCATAACTCCCCCTTCCCAATCTCTCATGGCTTTGCATCCATGTGTCCTAGGGATCATTTCTTTGTCTTCTCTAAAAGACTGCACAACTCAGGACGACTGCTGGCTTACTTTTCTCAGGGGACAACTCAGGTACTTTTCTCAGGGGACAACTCAGGTACAACTCAGAAGGAGATGTCTCACAAAAAGGAATTTGTCACACTGCTCCTTCTTCATGATGCAAGGGTGAGGTGCAGTTGAATTAAAAAAAACATATGAGTGAAACCATATGATAATTGTCTTTCTCTGATTGACTTATTTCACTTAGCATAATACCCTCCAGTTCCAACCACATTGATGTAAACGGTAAGTATTCATCCTTCCTGATGGCTAATATTCCATTGTATATATGTACCACATCTTTATCCATTCATCTGTCGATGGACATCTTGGCTCTTTCCACAGTTTGGCTATTGTGGACATTGCTGCTAAAAACAGCACAGAAGATCATAGAGGAAGGGAGGGAAAACCGAATGGGAAGTCATCAGAGAGAAAGACAAACCATGAGAGACTCTTTTTTTTTTTTTTTTTTAAAGATTTTATTTATTTGACAGAGAGAGATACAGCGAGAGAGGGAACACAAGCAGCGGGAGTGGGAGAGGGAGAAGCAGCCTTCCTGCGGAGCAGGGAGCCCGATGCGGGGCTCGATCCCAGGACTCTGGGACCATGACCTGAGCCGAAGGCAGACACTTAATGACTGAGCCACCCAGGCGCCCCACCACGAGAGACTCTTAACTACAGGAAACAAACTGAGGGTTGCTGGAGGGGAGGTAGGTGGGGGGATGGGATAACTGGGTGATGAGCATTAAGGAGGGCATGTGATGTGATGAGCACTGGGTGTTACATGCAATTGATGAATTATTGAACTCTACATCTGAAACGAATGATGTACTATATGTTGGCTAATTGAATGTAAATAAAGAAAGAAAACAAATAATGAAAATGTAAAACAAAACAAAACAAAACAACAACAACAACAAAAAAACTTGAGGTGTCTGTACCAAGGTTTTTGCATTCATTTATTTCTCATTGCAGCAACAAGATAAACAAGTGTAATTCGATGTTTAATGAGTTACAAATGGTAGTAAGCCCAGACACCTTGAGCATATGTATAAGGCAAATAAAACATTTTTCTTAGCGTGGATGTTAACTTTAAATGATCTGGGAATAGTTGCTCCAGGCCCCAAATACCATGACTGATGTGCAAAATGCATTTATCACCCAAAGTACTTACAAACCTAAAAATAAAATATTTGAATTCAAATACTTTAACCAAATTGGAAATACAAACAATATACCAAGAATCATCCTCAGCCGCCTGTTCTCCAAGCAAAAGGTCAAAAAACAAAACCATGAACAAAAATAATCCAAAAAAGAGAAGTTCATCCAGAAAGACTAAATGCCTATCAAAATCACATCTCTTCTTCTGATTCTTGTTCTCGTTCAACATTTTTCAGGAGTCCAACTTCTGAAGGGCAGAACCTCTGAAGTCGAGATTTAACCAACCTGAGGAGAATGAAAGGCATCTCACGTTATGCTGTTTAATAAAAACCCAGAACAACGTGTATCTATAATTCAACAAACTCCAAATTATCTGTGCAAATGGGAGAGGCAATCCAAAAAAAGAAAATCACTTTTATTTGGTTTTGGAGCTACCTGAAAAATTTTTGTGGATTAAAGCAGGGTATAAGTATACAGATACAATACAATTTTTAAATGTATAACATGATTGTTTAATTAGGCATCAGAGAATGCCTAATTATTCATAGCTTTGATCATTTCTAAAACAAACAAGAGAATCTCTGGGCTGCAGGAAGCCCAGATGAAACCGAGCTCAGCCTAGAGCTTTTCCATCAAGTCCACACCTAGCTATGTATTGCAAAAAGGAGCCCTCTCTTGTAAAGGAAGTGCATAAAGGCATCTCCTTCCCCGTGTCAAGCCCCATGTCAAGCCTGTCCCAACTTGTGCCTTGAGAGGGGTGCTTTTGTGCAGGCCATGAACTGCTCAACTGCATGTGATGGTCCATGTAGTGATCCATGATAAAATAAGAAGTTGGAAGAAGTGCCCTCCACCTTTGTGATTATTTTCATAGATTAAGAGATCTGTAGGTCTAGGGGTAAGCAGCAATATAATTTTTGATGCTGGAAGATATGAAGATTCTTAGTGGCAGAAACTCAGCAGACTCTCCACTTCCCCGATGTAATAAAAACTAAGCAAAGCTTTTCCTGTGCATGATTATTCATAAAGACATTGTACTATGACTATATTGATAAAATATAGTTAAATTCCAAAAGTACATAGGAATACACAAACAAATTTGATACACCAAATCATCAAAATCATTCTCATTTTGTGAAAAACTTCACCAGTCTATCTGCATCCCCTATTTTCTGCCTCTCTTCTTCCAGTGAAGGCTTGCCCCCATAAATATGCAATGACTTTACTTGTGCTCTGGATCCCACTAGAATAAAAGCTTCATAAGAGCAAAGACCTTATCTTATTTAGTGCCTTAATGCTAGCCAGAGTCTAGAACAGCATCTGGTGCATAACAGTGGCTCAACACACATCTGATGAATCAATGTCCTTCGGAGCAATCTGCCAGGAGCCCATATCACTCACTTATTCGTAGAGGTTAATTCTTCAGTCACTTTCAACTCAGCATTAACTCCTCCAATATACAACAACTGAGTAGTACCAATAACAACTATTGACTCATCAAGATCAAGGAAACCAATCAAAATAATTTGCCTTGATTATTGACTATTGATGTTGATCCCAATGTCCTCAGCTCTTCAAGGCACTATTCTTGCAAAAGGCTAATAGGCTTAAATAATTTAAAGCCTGGGACAGTGTTTGTGTCATATTTTAGATCCACACAGTTATCTCTACATTGCACAACCTCAATACATGCTAAATGAAATGGATTAACTGTTAATTCATTAATTAGATTCATTCCTGATGGCTCATGTGGAAAATAAAACAAACACATGGCTACTTATTACAAATTAATTGTTAACCCAGACCCTAGTGACTCTTCCTGTTTCCCACTCCTCTTTCCTGGGCTGTGTCTGCTGTTTCTACAAGCTACCCAGCTGAGGCATGTTCAGGCTCTATCTGCACCCTGTAGCCCTAGGTATTGGCACATGCATAAATGGGCGCTGGAGACAGATTAAAGGCTGGAATGATAAAGAAGTGCAAATAATTGCTAGTTCCTGGAATGATGTTTGTCCAGGATACTAAGGTTAGGATGTGTCTGAGGTTTTGCTCTCATAGGTTTTCTTCGATTAATAAGAAAAAGAGCAGAACTGAGACTCTGGGTGTACTTCCACAGTCCATCTGGAAATCAAACTTCCAGAAGGCAAACCTCATTTTCCTGGAATTTGGTCATCTCTATTTTGTTCTTCAAAATGAGTCACCTGAATTATTGCTTAGGAAACCAACCTGAAAGTGGGCATATTTCTCGACCCATAGAGAGGGGCTTTTGAAATAATTCTATAAATAGTGGTATTTAAATATGAAATACAGTAGAATATCTAATAAAATTTCCAAACAGATAAGTCTCTCCTATAAATGTCATTTCAGAACTGCAGGTATGGGTCTGAATGAGGCAATCTTTGAACCATTATTCTGGAAATTTATGAGGCTGATTGAGGCAATCTTTGCACCATTATTCTGGAAAGCTGGGAAGTAGAACTTCACTTTTCTGAGATTTGGGGGGTTGTGGTTCCATAACCTAGTTTTGTTTCCATGGTGATCTTTGCACTTTGTCAAACATATTCTGACATAATGTCCTGAAAATCCATCACCTGTGACTGAATTACAAACTACTCCAGTCAAACCCTGAAAAATAGATTGTCAAAACTCCTTATGATTATAGAACTGAATTAGCCTGCCATGTGACCTCACTGAAAGTCAGTACTGAATCTTCATGACATTTTTTAAGCTATTGCTTAAGTTTATATCAACATACCTCACATCATGAGCTCTTGTTCTTATACTTCCAAGAGCACTATGAGAGCAAGACTGGAAAGCATCTGAAACATGATTTCCAAACAAACAAAGCGCATATTCATGTAACTCTGAAGCAGATCTATTAAAACACGCCTGACGGCATGCCAGGAGCTGTGCAAATATAAAAAGGGTATTTTCCTAAGGGTGATACAATCTAGCTAGCAGATCAGGCTGACGTAAGCTAATAGTAAAGATAGATCGCAATTGCTAAAATGGGTAGTAGTGACTAAAGTACTATACAAACTCCTGAAGGGAGATGAGGGCTAGAATTGTCACAGAAGTTTTCATAGAAGAGATGGGCATTTAATTTGGATATGCCAAGTAGAGTGGACTAAGTGGCCCAAAAGGTAAAGGTTGAAAAAGACATCTAGAAAACTGTAAGTGGATAAGAGAGGTCTGAAGCTTTTTGAAACAGGAAGAGACAGTAGTCTTCTTTTGGCTCTGGAAGGGAGCTGATGTGAGCTAGAGAGGCTCCTTGAATGTTACCATTATTCTCGGAGGTTGCCCAGCCCCTAAGGAGGTGAGACCAAGATGTCAGCCTAGAGGAAGAAACCAAGTTTCACTCAATGGCAGAGCCAGTCTTAACAGCCATCTGCATGCTTTGGAGGAATGAAATAGGACTAATAGAAATCAGTCAATGAGAAGCTAGAATCTCCCAGTACCCAAAGCACTTAGACCCCTAGAAGGAGGTAACTACAGATCAAAGTAAGCTGACCCAAAGCCTAGCAGAGACATCAGGAGCTAGACAAGGAAATCGTTCTCTTACTCAGAGACCCAGCACCAAAGCTGCTTCAGCAGTGAAGCTCAGAGAAGCACAAAGCAAGAGAGAAGAGTAGAAAGCTAGTTTTTGAAGAGGATGAGACCCCACTGGGCCTAGAAGCAGCTACCATATTTTAGAAGTCTAGAGAACCTACTAGATGCATACTGCCCAATATGGTAGTCACTATACATTTACAGATATTTAAATTAATTAAAATTAATGTGGCACTAGGCACATGTCAAGTGCTCAATAACCATATAGTCAAGTAGCTCATGGCCACCAAAATGAAGCCTGCAGATATAGAACATTTAGGTAAATACTGAAGTCTGAAGAATTAAGTGTGGAGCCTGCATGCCTAGTAGTTGGGACCAGCCAGACCCACTGTGGTTTGGTATTAGCTACCTTAAAGACAGGAGCCATGTTCAGCTCTTTCTATTCCTTTTGATCCTTCAAGCTGAAGCTTAATTCTCAACTGCGAGGAAGCCTCCTCTGGGCTCCAGTAGTGCTTTGTTCTACTATTTCCACCTATTGCATTGTATTTCAATGGTCTATCTCTCCCCCTTAGGGTCTATACCTTATGCATTTTGTGATACAGAAGAAGGAGGAGGAGGAGGAGAACAAGAAAACTAACAAGAACAAGAACAAGAAGAAGAAGAACTTCCGCTGTGCCTTTATTATGTCCTAAACAGTTTAAATACATATCTCATTTAGGTACTATTATTATTCCCATTTTGTAAACAATAAAACTGAGACTTAATGTGGTTACATAATTTGCCTAAAATCATACAGCTGATAGGTAGCAGAATTAGGAATATGTGTTTTATCAATCTGTTATATTGCTCTTCATCTACTGTGAAACATTGTATCAGGGTCTAAAAACATGATTTTTCAACTGAATCTTACTTTTAGAAATATTAGAGTAAATGTCAAATTAATCATATACTCAAATTTAATGGGAGACATAAATATTGGTCAAAAAATGACACCAAGCTTGTGAATTGCTATGATTGATGTACATGTGGGCAAATGAAGGGCTCATTGCAAGTATGGAGAGGACCATCTGGAAAAGGAGACAGCATATGCAAAGACATGAAGGCACAGAAAAGGGTGTTGAAGGGTGACACATAGGTTAGAGACACAGCTGAGACACTGTTGAGGGAGTCTAACTTTAAGCCAGCATTTATTCTTTCGAGGGGGACTTTCTGGGTTTGCAGATAATTTTCTGCTACATTACCCTGTCTTGTGGAATACTAAGGAATGAAGTTCCTCTTTGAATTTAAAGTTCAATACTTTCGAGTCTTGATGATCAGATACCAAGGAAGAGAACTTATGTGAACAAAAAATCACTAACTTACCAAGTGACAAAGGCATAAATCATTCCAACGATGATAATGCTTAATGCATAATGCCAACAAAAGCATATGGTAAGAAACATAATGTTGTCATGATCCATTGCATCCCATGCAGGACCTCCACTGGGGGGATAAAGGACAAAACCAATCTGTAATTTAAAACAAAAAGCACATATTAAAATAATCAGTCACATTCCCAAAGATAGTACATTTCAAAATGTTTGGTTCTAAGATTAATCTTAACTAAAGTAACTCCAATTATCTGAGATGCTACAGATAAGACATCAGATAGTATCTACCAGGTCATATTTTCTTAAAAAAAAATGTTAAGGACATTGAAGAGAAATTTTCAAAATATGAATAGGAATCATCTCTGTGGTTTAGTGGACTTTCAGAGAATGTGTCAGGTTTCTAAGTTGTGCAGTTTCACAGTTATTTCAAAATTAGAGTATAAAGAGGTTTTAAAATAAATAAATGTTCACAGCTAACATTATATTCAATGATCAAAGACTGAAAGCTTTGCCCCTAAGATCAGCAACAAGAGGAGGGTGTTGGATTCACCACTTCTATTCACTAGGAATTTCTAGCCAAAAATTAGTCAAGTAAAATAAATAAAGGGTATCCAGATTCTAAAGGAAGAAGTGAAACTATCTATATTCACAGATTATATAATCTTATATATAGAAAATCCTAAAGAATCCACACAAAAAAAAACTATTAGAGCTAATCAATGAATTCAGCATACTTGCAGGACACAAAATTAACAAACAAATTCAGTTGTATTTCTATACACATGCAATGAACAACCCAAAAATTGAATTAAGAAAACAATGTTACTTACAATAACATTGAAAAAAATAAAATACTTAGAAATAAATTTAATCAAAGAGGTTCAAGACTTGTACACTGAAAACTACAAAACATTGTTGAAAGAAATCAAAGACCTAAATAAATGGAAATACATCTCATGTTCATGGACTGGATGATTTAATATTGTTAAGATGGCAATAGCACCCAAAGAAATCTACAAATTCAGTGCAATCTCTATCAAAATCCCAATGGTCTCCTTAATGCCCATCACCCAGTTACCCCACCCCCCCACCCACCTCCCCTTCCACAACCCTCAGAAGGCACATGATGTGATGAGCACTAGGTGTTATATGCAACTGATGAATCATTGAACACTACATCAAAAACTAATGATGTATGGGGCGCCTGGGTGGCTCAGGCGTTAAGCGTCTGCCTTTGGCTCAGGTCATGATCCCAGGGTCCTGGGATCAAGCCCCACATCCCTCTCCCACTTCCCCTGCTTGTGTTCCCTCTCTCGCTGTGTCTCTGTCAAATAAATAAATAAAACCTTTAAAAAATTAAAATAATAAATAAATAATAAATAAAAAACTAATGATGTAGTATATGCTGGCTAATTGAATTTAAATAAAAAAAAAAATCTCAATGGTCTTTTTTTTACAGAAATGGAAAGCTGACCCTAAAAATCATATGGAATTACCAGGAACCAAGAATAGCCAAAACAATTTCGAAAAATAAAAACAAAGTTTTAAGATGCATGCTTACTGATTTCAAAACTTACTACAAAAATTGCAGTAATCAAAATAGTGTGGTATTGACATAATGATAGAAATATGGATTGATGAAATAGAATTGAGAGTCCAGAAATAAATCTATATGTCTGTAGAAAATTCATTTTTGACAAGAGTGCCACGGCCATTCAATGGGTAAATAGTAGTCTCATCACCAAATGGTGCTGGTACAATTGGATATCCACATGCAAAAGAATGATTTTGGACCCTTACCTTACACCCCATACAAAAATTAACTCAAAAAAATTAACAACTGAGGGTTGCTGGAGTGGAGGGGAGTGGGAGGGATGGGGCGGCTGGGTGATGGACATTGGGGAGGGTATGTGCTATGGTGAGCACTGTGAATTGTCTAAGAGTGATGAATCACAGACCTGTACCCCTGAAATAAATAATACATTATATGTTAATTTAAAAAAAAAAGAAAAAGAAAAAAATATTACTCAACACTTCTACTCCCTAGTTACCACCCAGAAGAAATGAAAACATACACCCACATAAAGCCTTGTAACGTGAATGCTCATTTAAAGCAGCATTATCCATGATAGCTCCCAAATGGAAATAACCCAACTGTGTATAACCTGGCAAGTGGAAAATGAAAATGTGCCATATCCATACACTGGAATGCTACAACAACAAAAAGAAGACACTACTGACACATTCTGTAGCATGGACTCAGAATCATTATGCTAAAGGAAACAAGTCAGATGTACAAGATTACTTTTGCACCACTCCATTTATGTGACATGTTCAGAAAAGGCAAATCACTAGACATAGAAAAGGGACAAGTAGTTGCTAGGGGATGGAGGTGGGAACAGGGAGTGACTGTAACTGGCATGAGTGATCTTTTTGGGATGATGGTGTACAACTCTGTATATTTACTAAAAATCAGTGAATTATACATACATTTAAGCTTGTGAATTTTATGGTATAGAAATTATACTTTAGTACAGTTGTGTAAAAATAAAAATGGCTTATCTTCTGGGAAAGTAAATTCCAAAACAAAGAACTGAGAACAACTAGGCTAAGTCAATGAATGATCATAGATCTTAGATGTATCTTGCCAATACCCTTGAAATGTTTAAAATGCTAATTGATGAGACTATCTACATGGTGATTCTTTGGACAGTTGTTGCTCCTTTGAGTTCAGAGAAGTTTTGTAAGACTATTAAAAAATAGTTAAAGCAAAAAAAAAAAGAAAAAAAGGATCAAAAACTAAATATAAGAACTAAAACCATAATACTCTTAGAAGAAAACATAGGGGGAAAGCTTCATGTCCTGGCATTGGGGATGACTTCTTAGATACTACACCAAAAGTACAATCAACCAAAAAAAAAAAAAAAAGGTAAATTGGACTTCACCAAAATTAAAAACTTTTGTACATCAAAGGACACTATCAAGAAAATGAAAAAGGAGCCCACAGCATGGGATAAAATACTGCTGTATCATATATCTGATAAGGAATTAATATCTAGCATGTACAAAGACCTCCTAAAACTCAACAACTAAAAGACAAAAAATAACTATTTTTAAATGAACAACGGAGTTGAAGAGATATTCCTCCAAAGATGGTATACAAATGGTAAATAAACTCATGAAAAGATGAAGAACATTGTTACTTATTAGAGAAATGCAAATCCAAACCACAGGAGATACAACTTCACACCCACTAGGATGGTAAAAATAATAAATAACAAGTGTTAGTAAGAATAAAGAGAAATTGGAATCCTTGTAAATTGCTGGTAGGAATATAAGATGGTGCAGTCACTGTGGAAAACAACTGGACAGTTCTTCAAAAAGTTAAATGCAGCTTTAATTATCACATGAACTGGCAATGTCATTCCTAAGTATATACCCAAAAGAACTGAAAACAAGTATTCAAACAAAAACTTGTAAACAAATGTTCATAGAAGCATTATTCACAATAGTCAAAAGTTGAAAACAACCCAAATGTCTGTCAACTGATGATGAATAAACAAAATGTGGTATACCAATACAATGGACTATTGAACCATAAAGTCATGACGCACTAATGCATGACACAATATAGATGAATCTTATAAACATTATGTTAAGGGAAAGAGGGCAGACACAAAAGGTCCCATATTGTCTGATTCTGTTTACATGAAATATTCAGAATAACTAAATTCATAGAAACAAAAAACAAATTAGTGGTTATCAGGGGCTAAGAGGAGAGTAAAAGAGAATGATTGCATCAGGGTTCCAGGGTTTCCTTCTGGGGTGATGAAAAGGTTTCAGAACTGAATAGCAGTGATAGTTGCATAATATAGTGAATGTACTAATTGGCACTGAATTATATACTCTAAAACAGTTAATTGTGTTATGTAAATTTTATCCTAACAAAAAACAAAAAGAGAACGAGAGAGAGAGATGGATGAATGATGGACAGATGGGGGGATGGAGGATGGACATATGTCAGGTCTCTAGAACTAAATGAAATACAATACCAAGATAATTACATGGACAATGTATGAATGTCCACCATATATTAGCTAATTATATGTCAGTTACAGTGCTTGGGAGTGTTCCTTACAATGGCCCTTAAATGATGTATTATTATCCCATTTTAATATATTATTATCCCATTTTAACATATTGTCTTTATCTCTGGATGAGAAAATTGGGTGGTTTCATAATTTGCCTGGAATCGCACATCTAATAAATGAAATCTAACAGGAACAAAAAAAAAGCATTTAGTCCATAGTATTGAGTGAAACTTTAATACCATTTCTGTTTGAAATTTCCAATAACCTGAGTAAATTAGGAAAAAACAAGACTTGGGCCTTAATCACTTGTTCCCATTTCCCATTCTAAAGAATTCCCTTTGGTTGGAAAGAGAACTACCATTTGTACCACCCAGTAGATGTATCACTAGGTGTGGGGCACCTTAACTTCATTCATGCACATAAACTTCACCATAATTCTAAGTCCTCATAATAACCGCAAGAATAAGCCATTATCCCCATTCTTCTCATGCCCTACTTTTGCAGCAACTCATGAAAGATGACAAAAAAAATTGTGTCAAGTGGGAGTATCTTTTAGGGAGAGTTGAGTGTAATAAATTATGGACCAGCTCCCCAGTTCCTACCTAGTGGTCCCACCAATGTCCTTCCAATGCCATCCACCCATCTATCCTTGCTTGGGCAGTGTTTTGCTACAGCTCCCTGAGGTAAGGGTTAGCAGTTGTGGCTTATAATGTGTACCTCCAAAAGGATATGTTGATGTCCTAACACTTGGTGCCCGTGAATGTGACCTTATTTGGAAATAATGTCTTTGCTGATGTCATCAACTTGAGATGAGGTCATAGTGGATTAGAATTGGCCCAAATCCAATGACTAGTGTCCTTATTATGGAAGGCTATGTGAAGACACAGGTACACAGAAACCCACAGGTGTACCTATGGAGGCAGAGGTTGAGGTTATGCTGCCATAAGCCAAGGAATGTCAAGGATTGCTGGCAGCTCTCTAGGAGAGTGGCATAAGACAGATCCTCCCTTTGGGCCCCCAGGAAGGAACCAACATGCTGACCCCTTGATTTCTGGACTTCTGGCCTCCTGGCCTCCAAAACAGTGAAAGAATAAATTTCCGTTGTTTTAAGTCATCCAACTTGTGGGACTTTGTTATTGGAGCCCTAGGATACTAATACAAGAGCTAAGACCAAAATAAGCAAGGAATATCACTTATCCTAAACCTCAAGTCTGGACACTTTGGTGGCTCTTATCCATCTTTCAAATCCCAACTTAACTTTACTTTCTCCTGGTAAAGCATAGAATAAATAGTGTACACTCATGTGATTAATATGGTAGAACCAGACTTCAGATCCAGGTCTGCCTGACCTAGAGTCTCGTGGACTTCTCCCTCCATGCCATAGTCACAATCGTTTTCTGGAGCTTCCAAAATAAAATATCTCTTAAGTCACCTTCATTGGTCGTTACCAATTCTACCAGCCAAATGTTTACTGTTTTATACCAAGAAAAGAGAAACTTTGAGCGCCTCTCACTACTCATCTCCTTGAGACCCTCAGAGCCTGACACTGAAAGCTAAAGACTTAACTGAAGGCCACTGTGAAGCCTATGAACAGTGTTAACTGATGTGATTATTGTGAAAGTCATAGAAACATTCCAAGTCATTTCAGGATAAAAGCAAGTGAATTCGGAAAGCTGAAAAACTAAGGGCCAGAAAATGCCACAACTCATTAAATCTTCCTTGATATATAGAATCAGCCACTACTCTCTCATTAGTTATTCTAATTTGCTTCCTAATGTAAAATTCCAACCAGAGAAAAGGTCTGAAAAAGAATTTTTCTTGCTGTATCTTCTATGCCACTCCTGAACGTCTGTTTTTGAATAGTTTAAGCCTCATTAATATCACATTTAAAATGTAAATAATTATCTTCTCTAATATACAGCAAGCCAGGGGCTCATTCCTATAGGTTAGAGTTTGAATTTCCTAGTGTTTTAAGTCTTATTTTCCAATCACTTATTTCAACACTATCAGCCTTAAACAAGTGTTTGATCTACCATATCAGACTCAGACCACTACTGCTTAGTTGGGTCTTTTTGACATCTTTGAATGAACTTTTGTCTTTCATAAAGACAAAATAAGGCTGCACTTTACTTCGGGCTCAACAATCTGGGGAGCCATGGGAGGAGTCCCCGGAGCAATTAGTGGGGGAGGGTGATGAAGCAGAAGTTACTGTTCAAAGTAATTGGAAACAAAGACAGCAGAAGTGTCTTCTTCCTCCCCTGATGGTCTCTGCCTCAACTCTGACAATGATAGGAGGGAACTTGGAAATGACAAAGTGTGAAAGTGAGCTTTAGAAATATTCTCCCACAGGGGTGACTGGGTGGCTCAGTCGGTTAAGCATCTGACTCTTGATTTCAGCTCAGGTCATGATCCCAGGGCTGTAAGACTGAGCCTTCCATCTCCCTACCACTCCTGGTGGGGGCTCTGTGCTCAGTGGGGAATCTGCTTGAGATTCTCTCTCTCCCTCTCCATCTGCCCCTTCCCCCACTCATTCCCCATCATTTACATATGAGTTATAAAAAAAAAAAGGCCAATCTGAACATTTGCCTCATTCATTTTGCATCTCCTTATTTATAGTTCCAAGAGTCTGGGTGTGCTAATCTGTCTACATATTGTTTATGCACTAGTATTAACCACCTATGGACAAGTAAAGAGAGAAAAAATATGGTGAAAAGCAAATCACAATGTCATATTATCAACTTAAGACAGAGTTTTGACCATAAACGTTCATATACCACACAGAGCACCAAAATAAAAGTGGAATAAATTCACCTACGTCTCTAGACATTTTTGTTTCAGAGGAATCTGAGGGTGGAGAGACGTACTACAGTTAAACCTTCATTTCCTGCCAGTGTGTGTGTTTGCATTGGTATTAAATGCTCATTTTTCTTTAAGCCTCCTAACGTTATTTAGTCTAGCCACCAGGTAAAAAAAGAAACTAGTCTAGACATACTGATAGATGGAAAAGATTTTTAAATAGTTACAGATTTATGCCCAAAGATTTTTTTTGTTTTTTTTTTAGATTTTATTTATTTATTTGACAGAAAGAGACACAGAGAGAGAGGGAACACAAGCAGGGGGAGTGGGAGAGGGAGAAGCAGGCTTCCCACAGAGCAGGGAGCCTGATGCGGGGCTCGATCCCAGGCCCCTAGGATCATGACCTGAGCCAAAGGCAGACACTTAATGACTGAGCCACCCAGGTGCCCCAATGCCCAAAGATTTTTAACCTCATAGCTCTTTCCTAGAAAAGCTTTTGGTAAAATATAAAAACATTATTTCTCTGCCAAAGCGGACAACATTAGGTCAACATATTCTCAGTTGTGACAGCCCATGTTTCTTCCCTCAGATTCTTAATCATTAATTATTAATGGAACAGTAATTAGTTTGAAAATCCCTGCAATAACCTCATCCCAAGTTCCTGCTTTCTGGTGATGAAACATCTCCTCTAAGAGGTCATCCCCTATTAAACCACATTCACCTTTCATCTCAGACTTTCCTTACATCTATATGTGTATATTAGAGTATGATTTACCAGTCTCTATAAAATATAAGTTCACTAATTGGAATACATGTTTTTGACAACACGCCAAGGTTAGGTAGTCAACAGAGTAAAATGGAAAGAGCCTGGGACTTGGGGTCAGACAGACCCACATTTAGATTCTAGTTCCATTACTGTGTGAGTCTGGGATAGTCATGGGGTCTCGCTGAGTCCTATCAGTAAATTTGGGATGATAATACCTAACTTCCAAGTTACTGTGGGGATATAATGAAACAACATGTATGTAATAGTCCTGTAGAGCGGCTGGCACATTGTTGTTTCTCAGTAATTAATCATTTCCTCTCCTTCCTGCCTTTCATATATTTCTCAAGCTCATCACTCATAAGGATGTAAGCTACTTTAGCAAAAGCAATGGCTCAGAATTCCTACATTACAGATATTCAGGTGTGTGAGGAAGATGAACACACCCCATTTCCTTCCCGGCTGCTCTGTCAGTACTCCCCCCAGGGCCTCTGGGCTACTCAAAGCAACATCACCTCTCAAAGACCCACATTCTCTCTACAGGCAGCACATCAGAAGGAAGTGTCCGATTCTGGATCAAAATACCCCACCAAAGAGAGACGAGTACAGATGGAGACACCAGATCCCTTCACAGGAGGCCTCGACTCACCTGCCAAAACCAGCTCCCCTGAAGCAGGATAAAGCTTGTCCGAGTAAGTTCCACAGTGATACTGGTCCGTATGAAGAGCTCCAAGAAGGCAATCAGGCCTGTCACAAAGATGGCCAAGACCAACAGCTGGTGCACAAAGATGTCCAGCATTTCCCGGCCATGAGTGTGATTATACATGATAAAAGCTGATAGGGAAAAAATAGTTTCTCTTTTTCAGTGAAACCAAGGGGCATCCACCATTTTTCTCCCTCCTCTCTCCCCCTCCCTCTCTCTCTGTCTTCCCCACCCCACATAATTTTATACTCACACACACACACGCACACACATCAATTTGTCCAAAATATCAAGTGCTCTCTGCTTCCCACAATAATGGAAACTTCTAGCATTTTTGGAGTCATCACTACCTCTTTTATTTTTAAGATTTTATTTATTTATTTGTCAGAGGGAGAGAGAGAGAGTGAGCACAAGCAGAGGGAGAAGTAGGCTCCCTGCTGAGCAAGGAACCCAATGCAGAACTCCATCCCAGCACCCTGGGATCATGACCTGAGCCAAAAGCAGATGCTTAAACGACTGAGCCACCCAGGCGTCCCATCATCACTACCTCTTAAGAATAGAGATCTATCTCTCCTTTTCCCTTTCCCAACCTTTATTTTCTTGTCTAACATATCAAGACACTTTCAACTAACTATATTTCAAAGCATCTTCTATAAAGGACGATGAATAGTAAGTGTGATGGGGGCAGGGGAGCAAGAATACACAGATGAATGAGACAAATCCTTGCTTTAAGGAATTCGGTCCATTGGAGTAAGCAAATATATATATACAAATCATAAGAGTGGACTTTGATGGGTATGACAAGATGCTCTGGAAGCTCCCAAAAAATAGTAACTACCTATGTTATTTAATCCCATGAGCAGATTCCAGCTTTATCTTCAACCTTTTCATGTAGATGAGGAGGAAAAGATGTTCACTCAAAATATGGTAACACCCTGAGATACTGAGAATCTTGCTCATGGTTGTTGACGTCCATCTTTTAGCTAGCCTTTGTTCTCAGAAAGGGGTTGGCAAAAGTCCTTATCTTCAGATGGGAGAAGGAAGGTGGACAGTTAGGAAATTACTGCCTCCTGATCCTTTGGGATTTTTTTAGTTCTATCATCAATCTAATCCTTACAAATACAATAAATGAAAACAAATTACTAAACACCTGTTTTCCCTACATAGTAACAGGGACATCAGCTGAACAAAAAGTGTTTTTCATTAACCTCTCGAAAATAGGACCTCCTCTTTTTAGTGACTGATTTTTTGACCCTACTTCTCATGTAATGGTGCAGTTCCACTCTATCAATATGAAAAAAGCTAGTTAGCAGGTTAGTAGGTTGCTGTGAGCGGTCTCCTTGTTTCAGGATACTCATGCTTCACTACCCTGAGTTCAGTTTCACTTGTTAAAAATGGAAATCATGATTCTCTCCAGGATAACCTAGAGATAAATAACCATGGTAGGTGGTTATTTAAGAATGATGTGAGGGTGCCTGGGTGGCTCAGTCGTTAAGCGTCTGCCTTCGGCTCAGGTCATGATCCCAGGGTCCTGGGATCGAGTCCCACATCAGGCTCCCTGCTCGGTAAGAAGCCTGCTTCTCGCTCTCCCACTCCCCCTGCTTGTGTTCCTGCTCTCGCGATCTCTCTGTCAAATAAATAAATAAAATCTTTAAAAAAAAAAAAAAAAGAATGATGTGAAATGTGAATAAAGCACATCAAAGGATGGTGCTTGTCCCGGTTTACTGTATGAGTCAGTAGGGAGGGAAAATCCTTGGTGTCCTATGCAGGACATCTGATTATCTCCCCGTGGCCCAAACAAATGGCCCAACTGATCAAGGCGGCACCAGGACACTAAAGGAATATTATTGCACAGGGCTAGACAAGTGTCCAAGGATAGTGAAAGGTACGGGAACATACTCACTTATACTTACCCTCCACAAATAAGGCATTTGACAACATTAACTTGGTTAAGGAGGCAGGAAGCGAACTGATGAGAAAGCATAAGATGTTTGTCACACCCAGCAGCCCAAAGAAGAAATACATGGTGAAATGGTGCCAGTTCAGGAGGTCGACCCACTGGCCCTCTTTATAGTCATATAAGGCCAAATGGGGCCCTCCAGTGATAAATTGCTCCCCAAGCATGCCTGCAAAGGAACATATCACAGTTTTAGTAACCCTCCCCACAACTTCGTGAAGAAAGCAGGAAGACACAGGATTAACCCAGGCCTTAGTCTAATCTAATGTCCTTCTGCGATGCTGATTCTTCTCTCTGGGCTGTTGCCTAACAGCTAAGTACTGGGGCTTTAGGCTGGTTTTAGAGGTTCAAATACTGGTTTGGATGATCAACTTTTAGTCAAAGATAAACCAATTTAGTCAAACATCTAGTTATTTCAGATCATCAAAGCTGATCATTTCAGTTCTTCATAGTTCCCTGATCAGTTCCACTGATGGTCTTAGTTCCCATTTTCATCTAATGACTAGATAAATCCTACAGAGGCTGTTTACTTCCTTCTGACACATCCTACATCTCTGGTTGGCTGCCAAGAAGTAGCGAGTTGTGCTTGATTCAGAATCAAAATACTAGAGTTCAGCTTTTCCCCAAGTCAAGTTTACAGAAAACACAGATTACAGCACCTGGTCTAGTCAGTTATAGAAACAGTAAAACTTTCTTTAAAATTCTGCTTTATGTGTCAATCTATGGAATTTGGCAAGGCAATCCCTCTTTTTGGAAATGGTTGCTCTGTAATTTCATGTCCACAGCAAAGACCAATTGCCATGAATAAAGCAGGAGTAAATCCAAAGGGAAATGAGAAAGTTCTGCCTTTCACAAAGGAGAGGCTACAGTGGAATTCTAAAACCACAGAAAATTTTCACAGAATCTTATAGTCAATGAAAAGGCCCTAGAAGTCATCTGGCCTAACTTCCCTTTTCAATTTAGGAATCACACAAAAAGGATGAGTGCATAAAGCAAGGTCTTCTTCAGCCTGACCCCTCTGTACAGTCCATCAGCAACAACTTATGACTGAGGCTTTCCCATAATAACTTGATTTTGGCATCATTTTGAGAAATGGCTTCTGATAGAGTTTCCTCTTTCAGGCATCAGAATAAATGACATAAAATTATTTCAAGGTTCCAACTAATTCGATAAAGGAAATTCACCTTGAGTGGGCAGGCAAGTTAATATCCATCACTGACTCATTAAGGAATAGGCCTTTGTATAAACATGAAGTGTCACCTTCTAACAAATTATATCAGATAGAAATTACAATTAGAATATGTGTTCAGAGATATTTTTTAATAAAAATTCATTTTAGTGATTTCTTGATTTGGTATTTAATTTTCTCTTTGCATGTAGAAATACCCAAAAGGAGAAAACAGAACACAGAAGTGGTCCACTCACCAGTGATAGCCATGCTGACTAACACGATTCCCTCAAAAATTTCTATTCGATGGAATAATGCTTTGGAGCCAATGTAGGAAGTCCGCTTGTGCTTTTTGCAGGCATATTTCAGAACGCACCTGGTGGTCCACCAGATACCCATGATAATGAAGAAGGTTCCGGGGAGGGCATGACCTTTGAAATTCCCCATGTCTACCAAGATTAGAACATACAGAGGATGAAGACATTTTGTTCCCAGAACTTAGCCGAAACATCACTCATTCTCATAAAATACACTATTTTCTGATGATTATGGATATACCATTGATTTAAGAGGAGTCGATGTTACTGTCAATCACTGCAATATTAACAACACCAAGAAGAAAAAAATTCATATTCATTGAAAACTTACCTTGTGCTAGGCACTATGTCAAATGTTTTACACACAATCTCTACCCTAATTTTTACAACATACCCATTTTCAGTCGGGACACAGGGTTAGAGAGTTAAGTGACTTGCCCAAATTTCATAACTATTAAGCAAGAGTTCTGTTGTTTTTAATAGGGAGCTCAAGGATTTCTTAAAATGATAGCATGTGCAACACCATATAGTTACACTTTAAGGATATTTGGAGGAAAGTAATATGAAAGTTTTACCTGCATGTTTAAAACCTGAAATGATATAAAATTGCCTACAATTTTTTAAGTAAGTAATTTCAAAGTATCAAGCATCGAGTATATAAAAGAGACCATTAGTGCTCATCAAATATTCAAGTGCTTCTCCACAGACTTTTCCCAGCCTCTTCTCCAGGTGATTCAAAACCATGTTTCTAAACAGTATGGAGGTGCCTTAGAAAGTTAAAAATAGAACTACCCTACAACCCTGCAATTGCACTACTAGGTATTTATTGAAAGGATACAAAAATACAGATTCAAAGGGGTCCATGCACCCCGATGTTTATAGCAGCATTATCAACACTAGCCAAACTATGAAAAGAGCCCAAGTGTACCTCAACTAGTGAATGGATAATGAAGATGTGGCATTTTTTTTTTTTAAAGATTTTATTTATTTATTTGAGAGAGAGAGAAAGCATGAGGTGGGGAGGGTCAGAGGGAGAAGCAGACTCCTCGCTGAGCAAGGAGCCCGATGCGGGACTCGATCCTGGGACTCCAGGATCATGACCTGAGCCGAAGGCAGTCGCTTAACCAACTGAGCCACCCAGGCGCCCGGCATTTTTTTTTATAATGGAGTATTACTCAGATATCAAAGAGAATGAAATCTTGCCATTTGCAATGATGTGGATGGAACTAGAGGGTAAGTTAAATAAGTCAGTCACAGAAAGACAAATACCATATGATTTCACTCATATGTAGAATTTAAGAAACAAAACAGATAAACACAGGGGAAGGGAAGGAAAAATAAAATGAGATAAAAACACAGAGAGAGGCAAACCATAAGAGATTCAACTATAGAGAACAAACTGAGAGTTGCTGGAGGGGAGGTGGGTGAGGGGATGGGCTAAATGGGTGATGGGCATTAAAGAGGGCACTTGTGATGACCACTGGGTGTTGTATGTAAGTGATAAATCACTAAATTCTACTCCTGAGACCAATCTACACTATATGTTAACTAACTTCAATTTAAATAGAAACTTATGAAAAAAATATTTTATCCTACCTAAACAAACAAACAAACAAAAACCATGTTTCTAGTTCTGGTCAATGGACTATGGCATTTGTCATTTCCAGGCTGAGTGAGTTGAGAGCCTACATGACTCCTTTAATTCACCTTTCCCCTGCCGTGGCAACCTTGGCATGGCTTATCCAGAACATAGTGGATGGCCAACCAGTCTGCTTCAGATCAATTGTGCTAAGTTATTGAACCTTTAAGGCTTAAAGAGCTTAACCTAGTCTTTTCAGATTGATGCCAAGCCAAATCAAATTGTAAATTGTTTACACAATTGTTACATTTACACAGTGAGACAAAAAATAAAAAGAAATAGCTTCCATTTTTGGCCAGTGCTATAGAAAATCAGTCTTGAATTATGTGAGCAGCCCTTTGTTCAAATGTCCTGTACCATCAACAGAATAATGAAAAGAGAATGCAGAATCCTCTTTATGAATCTCACAGTAGGCCAGATGTAGGAGCACTGATGAAAGGAGATTTCAGGTTTCCCCTGGCCCAGCAGAGGACTTTATCTCCTTGAGTGGGTACTGGGCATTTCAGTTCAGGGGAGACCCCTTTGGGTGACTTCCACATCCTTCACAACTGTGAAATTTCAAGGGGGAACTGTGAAGTTAACTCAAACAGTAAGTCTCTTAAATTTTCAGTCAAGCCCCCAGGTGGACATTTTGGCACACCCCTGAATCATCCAAACCTTCAAATAGAATCTGACTCAATACAGTTGACTCTTGAACAACACAGGGTTGAACTGCTCGGGTCCACTTAGATGCAGATTTTTTTTATAGTACATACTGGAAATGTATTTTCTCTTCCTTACTATTTTCTTCATAACATATTCTTTCCTCTAGCTTACTTTGTCGTAATAATACTGTATATAATATATGTAGCATACAAATATGTGTTAAGTGATCAGTAAGGCTTCCAGTCAACAGTAGGTTACTGGTTGTTCAGTTTGGGGGGAGTCAAGGGTAATACATGGGTTTTCGACTGTGCAGGGGGTTGGCGCCCCTAACTCCCATGTTGTTCAAGGGTCAATTGTATATCACATAGTACTAAGTGACCATTCTTGTCCTAACTCTGACCCTAATTAGTGCTGTGGTTTGGGGCATGTCCCTTAACCTCTCTGAGCCTTAGTTCTTAAAAGAAGAAGGAGGTGGCTTAGGTGACACCTGAAGTTCTTTTCGGCTCAAACATTCTGTGATTCATCATCGTAATCACCATCTGTAGTAGTGTTACTGAGTTCTCCTGTTTGTCTTGGCTTAAGAAGCCACATAGTATCGGAAAATGCTTTTATGTGGGATTGAAAAATACATCCAGACTGTAAATTATTTGTACGTTTCTGGAGAAGAATTTGATATGTTTTAAGAAGCCTTGACGGTTTTATATTCCTTGGTACAGGAAACCCATTTCCAGGAAGCTATCCTAAAGTTATAACTGGAAATACAAGCACCAAATTAAAAAAATACATTGTCTAAATCAGAAGAATGATTTAAAATTTTTTGCAGCCACTTAAAATAAAGTTTTCAAATAACTTAAGCGATAGGGGATGTATTTAGTGAAAAGAACAGCATTTTTCAAACCTGAGAAGGGGCTTTGGATTCAGGTGGACTAGATCTGAATCCCAACTCTACTATTTACTAGCTATGTGACTTGGGCAAATTATTTCACTTCTCAGTGCCTCTGTTTCCTCTTCTGTAAAATGAGACAAAGAAAAATACCTACCTCCTAAAATCAAAACACGTTTCCTCCAAAGCAAATAACCCACAGTAGTTTTAAGCAAGCTCATATTATCCTCAACCCACCTCAAACTACCAAAGTAGAACAAAAGTAAAATCAAATGAGAAATTCTACTTGGACAATTACTGCTGAAAAGCAACAAACATCTATATACTTCCCTTGGCAATCATTCATGTACTGCTTGTAACATTTCTCCTGCTATTGTCTTAGAGGGTTACTGGAATCTTCTGTAGTTATTTAATTCCTTGACTGCATTTAAAGAATAAGCTTCTTGAAAGCAGGGGCCATAAATCTATTCTTTCTACCCCCCCCCTTTGAACCTGGATAGCATCTTATACACTGTGAAGTTCTAAATTAACAAGAATAACTAAGCCCTTCTTAAAAGATCATATAGTTATAAAACATCTCTACTCTGATGTCTCAAAGCTCACTCATACTCAACATACCCACAAATTGAACTAATCATGTTATCTACTCACCCACTACCAGAAAATAATTTTCCCCTAGTCATTGATTTTGTTAACACCACCACCATTCACTTACTTGCCCAAACTCAAAATATGAAAATCATCGTAGAGGCCACCTTGTCTCTGAAAACTAATTGATTATTAAGACCTTATATCAACACTCCCCTACCCCAAATCTGGCTGACTCCCCTTGCTCTTTCAATTTCAACTGCCTAGGGAAATCCTCCCTGATGGCCCAAAGAGAAGGCCCCCTTATACCTTCTCAAGGTACCCAGTTCTTATTTTAATGAATTCTTTGTGTGATTAGTTATTGAAGGTCTGTCCTCTTCATTAGCCTCTATGTCCATCACTATTGAGAGCCTGTGTAGTGGTCATTTAGGGCCTCAGAGGTTAGGAGCCTGGGCTATCCTCCATTTTTTTATGCCCTGATAAATTTAAAAAAGGAAGAAAATGCCAAAACGGAGTCACAGAAACCATGGTTCCTTTTCAATGTTTAGGTTTACCTAATAAATACCTTCACCACAGATGCAAAACATATTGGCTATGTTGGAGCTAACATGAAAATTTAAATTTGGGGCCCTTCCGAAATGTGTGGTTCTGACCAAATAATCTTCCTGATCCACCTCCATGACAAACATTATAATAGGTTCCTACTGCCCCAAAAGCTGAGTGAACCAATATACCTCAGCATAGCCATTGGGATGTGATAGGGAGGCAATGGGGAGTAGATGAAAGTTTTTGAAGAGGGATATGAGGTGATCGGAGTAGGGAAAGAAATGAGGCATTGCTCCTACATCAGTTACAGAACTTCTGCATCTTTAGCCTTTTAATCTAAACAACGTGATGGCTCAATTGTTCTCTGTTTAAAAAAACTCAAACAATACGAAGTCAAAGCAGGCTTGCTATATTTGCCTGGCTAAGCAACCGAACAGACCCAGTTGCTCCTGGCAATGAAAATGGTATTCATTTTTTTTTTTCATTTCCATTGTGGAAAGAAAGAACTGCTCAGATCCTCAAATATCACTTCACTGTGATCTCCTAGAACACCATTATCCATAAATCTATCTTTCGTTTCCTGCTTTACTATTACCTGAGGTTGCAATTTACTGCTCTTAAAAGCCAAGTAGTCCAGAGTTTGATTCAATCCAAATCCAAAGAGCAGACACATTCCCCTTGGAAGAAGAACACCGGGCTTTTCTCACCCACAAAGCAAATCATACTTGCCAGACAACCAGCAGAAACCTCAGAAAAATCACCAGAATAGGACACAAAAAAGTCCTTCTTCAATATCCTCCTTGCCTGATCTTGCCACTTAAAATAATCTCATGGGGAAAGTTGTTCATTCAAGCCTGAAATGGTGGGCTGCAAGATTCAGTCACCAGCTTCCAGCTGCAATTTATCCTAAAAATTCATACTCCTCCCCAAACCAAACAAATCCATAAATAAACCCTCTACTCCTAATGACACCAAACATCATCCTCTGGGCTAATGACAAACAATGACTCCTGATACCCTTGTTGGCCTCTTTTTTTCTCACTGTCCTCCAAATTTACACACTCACCCTAAAGGGAAATATTTTTAAACTCTAATACTTAGAGATAATATTGGACAAATCCCAAGATCTAACTTAGGTGTCAAGTGTTAATTCCCAGTGTTACAGCCACATAAACCACAGACCAGACCTGCGCACAAAAAGAGGAGAGAACTTAAAATATCTCACAGAAAGAGATCCTACAGTTTTCTTGGTGGAATCTCAACCAAATACTAATTTCAATATAAAATGAATGCCATGGGGGAAACTTAAATTAAAATTTCATCTTGAGCCACCACCAAAATAAAGTATTCCTAAATCTTAGTGACTCCTTTCAAGGCACATTTATAAATTCCCATACACTAAACAAATTTTAACTATTTCTTGAACTTCACTTTACCATTTGCTTGAACACTCAAAGCAAAATATATACAAGCATTTGTAGCTTTAAAGTTCTCCATCATTCCATACCAGTCATTATCTCCCAAATTTCAACTATTTCAAAAAAGTTTTCTTAGTTAAATTATCCTTACCTTCACACTTTCTTCAATGTCAAGTCCCACTCAGTTCTCTTCTTCCAAGAACTTATAATGATTCCAGCTTCAAGAAGGAAAAGCAGATACTGACTGGTCTAAATCTAATTACTCTCTTTTTTTTTTTTTTTAAGATTTTATTTATTTGCGAGAGAGAGAATGAGAGACAGAGAGCATGAGAGGGAGGAGGGTCAGAGGGAGAAGCAGACTCCCTGCTGAGCAGGGACCCTGATGTGGGACTCGATCCTGGGACTCCAGGATCATGATCTGAGCCGAAGGCACTCGCTTAACCAACTGAGCCACCCAGGCACCCTAACTACTCTCTTTCTTAGAGACTAAACCAATGTGCTTATGTTTTTCCAGCATGAAGTCAGCAGATAAACTTTCAGAATATGTCACAATGCCTTCATAAATGTAAATCTTGGGGCCACACCCTTTTGAAATCCTACTTCATGTCCAAACATTGTGCCAAAGCTCCCAAGAAGCCTCACCTTGCCACCCACCCACATGACCACTAGGCTCAGACATGTGTCCCTGCTGTGAGAACCAAAGCCCAGTAGAGCATGTGTGATCTTTGCTCTCTTCCAGGTCATCAAGATGGACAGAAGACAAGCAGAATGGTATGTTAGCAGTAACATACCAGAGTAGGTCCAATAAGTCCTATGAAGGCAAACCATTTCCTAATATGCAGTGCCTCAGGAGAGATTGTCACAGGGGCTAGGGTTGGAGTCATAGCCAAAACCAAAATTACAAGAATAAGAAAAGATGATGGAACAAAATTGCTGCAGATCATCAATGAAGCTCACCTGCCCTCAAGGAATACACAAACTAGTAGAGAGACAAGTGCATTCTAAACCAACATGAGGTGTACACAGAGTGAAATGGGAAGAAGAAGCAGCAGTTTGACTCTAACCTGAAGAGCTAGCAGCTGTTATCCTGTCTGTTTACAAGTCTTATTTCCCCTCTCAATGATAAACATGGTGAGCAAGGGCCATATCCTCTATCATGCTTTGCACCCAATTAGCACTCAATAAATCACCAATGAATGACGGGTTTCTTTCTGGAACCCCATCCCCCTGAAACACTGAGCTGGGTGACAACCAGTATCAGAAACAGCGGACGTGGCTAATTAAATGCAGATTCTTGGCACCCACTTCAGATCTACTGAATCAATCATCGGGGGGAGACCCATGAATCTGCATTTTTAATAAGTGCTCATCAGTTATTTTTTTATATTCTTAAATTTTGTGAACCAAAGGCTTAGGCTGTGTGGAGACAAGCAGAATGACACCAAGACACTGAGATTTAAATGTGACTTCCTTATCACTATACCCCAGAGGCCATTTGTCTCCCATCAGTGTCATAAACTCTGATGGGCTTGTTCACATCAGGCTTCATATGGGGCAGAGGTGGTGGCTCAACAGCTGCTCCTGAGGCCAGAATGATAATCTGGCTCCAGAAGAAGACAATAACAATACTAGAGCCCTGACATTCTGTTCTGTTTTATTTTATCATACATTATTAAGATATTTTATTTTGTTTTGATCTCTTTTATACCCCAGCCTCTTACACCCATACCCCTATCAATCTTTAAATACTAGAACCACCCATGTCACATGGGCTATTCTTAACCAAACATCCAGAATGACAAATAGAACTCTACATTTAAAAAAAAAAAGACACAGGATGAGCCAATCCAAAGATGTATGTATTAAAAACATAAAACCAACAAACAGAAAATAAGAACAAATGTCATGTTGAATCACCTGCTGTAACGAACTCTTCAAAGTAAATAGAGGCCTGGACTGTTTTTGTTAGTAGTGGAACATCCACTTCACTTCATGCTAATAACTTCTCATGCATCTGTTTATTCTATTTTTGAGACAACTCAAGGAAGTATTATTATTTCCACCACAGGTATGAGGAAACTGAGACTCCAAGAGATTTACTGACCTACGCTAAGTCACAGAGTTAATTAAGACCAGAGCCAGGGTTTCAAGGTCCTTATATATGATTCCAAATCTCAGACTATTCCCCTAGAAAAGGGCAAAGACCAGAAGAGGTTTGCGGATGAACCCAACAGTACTCATCAAGTTCTTTGACTAGGTTAAACACCATAAGGAAAGAGTTCCTTCTTCTGGGACTTTCTACCATTGAGTTGTCTGTGCATGTAAAGGAAGTGAAGCTCTGCACGTAATCTGAATATTTATTTACCACTGTTTATAGTCAGAGTCAGAATGCAGAGGGATGCCAACCAAAAGAAAGCTGGTCTGAGTAATCTACAATGACTTCACTTGACAAAATGAAGATGCTAGAGATAAGTATCAGTGATGTGGTAAGAACCTAAAGAAATCATTCTATGGTTCCCAGCTTCATCCTGCTTCACAATTCAAGTCAATGAACAATTTCTGATTACTACATACATAACTAACAATCTGCTTCAGGTTATTGGGAACTCCATGGTAAGCAAATATACCTATTTTTCATTGTTGCTACAGCTCAGCTGGCAAATGTTCTCCAATTTTAAAGACCCAGATGATTAGGCTGGGCCTGCCAGAATAATCTCTTCATTTCAAGGTCATTAAAAAAATCCTTTTTTGCCATGTAAAGTAATTTATTCACATGTTCCAGGAATCAGAAAGTGGTGGGATAAGGACATTATTCTGTCTACAACAGCAACACATACATGTTTACAGTTTGGCAGAACAAAGAAGGCAAAAATATGTGACTATGAAACCAAGGAGATGAGCCAAGATTCATGGTAAAGGAATAAACTACTAAAGGTATGCTGAGTCCCTTCATTTGATTTAGAGGAGTAAGAAAGGCATACAGCAGGATCCTGTAAGACTGTAAGGACCATTTGAGCTGGACTTTGAAGACTGATTAGGATTTTGAAAGGAGAGCTGAATTGGGGAGGGTATGTGCTATGGTGAGCACTGTGAATTGTCTAAGACTGATGAATCACAGACCTGTACCCCTGAAACAAATAACACATTATATGTTAATAAAAAGAAAAAAGAAAGAAAGGGGGAGCTGCAAGGGAAGAGCACTCTAGACATAAGAAACAGCATGAATAAACTCTTGGTGGCAGAAACTTACAGGAGATATTGAAGCCACTTCTACCATAGGAGTAGAACACAACAGAAAATGCACCTGAAACACCTACATATATGGGAAGTTGGTAAATGGCAAAAGTAACAATACAAATTAACAATCAGTAAAAAAAATTAATAATGTTTTTACAATTGAGTCTCTAGTAATGAATAAAAATCAAACTAGATCCCTACCTCACACCAGATTAAAAAATAAATTCCAGGGGCGTCTGGGTGGCTCGGTCATTAAGCATCTGCCTTCAGCTCAGGTCATGATCCCAGCATCCTGAGATCGAGCCCCACATCGGGCTCCTTGCTCTGCAGGGAACCTGCTTCTCCCTCTCCTTCCTGCTTGTACTCTCTCACTGTCTCTCTTCTCTCTCTCTCTCAAATAAATAAAATCTTTAAAATAAATAAATAAATAAATAAATAATAAATTCCAGGTGGATTGAAGACCTAATTGTGAAAATAAAATTTTTAGTAGAAAATATTTGAAAATATCCCCATGACCTTGGGATAGGAAAGAATTTTTTAAGCAAAATACAAAAAAGTAAAGTAATGAAGGACAGAACTGATAAATTTGACCTCTTCAAAAAGTAAAGCTTTTAGGGTGGCTCAGTCGGTTAAGTGTCTGCCTTTAGCTCAGGTCATGATCCCATGGTCCTAGAATTGAGTCCCGCATCGGGCTTCTTGCTCAGTGGGGGGGGCCTGCTTCTCCCTCTGCCTGACACTCCCCCTGCTTGTGCTCTTTCTCTCCCCCTCTCTCTCTGACAAATAAATAAATAAAATATTTTTTTAAAAAAAGTAAATCTTTTATATGTGAATGGCAAAGAAGCATAGGAAAAGATGCTCGATATCACTAGTCAATTGGATAATGTTAATTAAAATAACAAATACCAATACTCATCCACCAGAATGGCTAAATTTAAAAAGACTGACAATACTGATGATATTGGCAAGGATGTGGACCAACTGGACCTCTTATGCACTCTAAGTGGGAACACAAAATTGTACAGCCCCATTCAAAAGAAGTTTGTCACTTTTTATAAAGTTAAACATGCACTTATCATTTGACCCAGCAATTCCACTCCTAGGTATTTACCCAAGAGAAATTAAAATTATGTCTACACAAAGATTTGTATATGGATGCTCATAGTAGCTTTATTCATAATAACCAAAAACCCAGAAACAGCCCAAATGCCCAGCAACTAGTGAATGCATGAACAAACTGATACATCCCTAACTAAATTTCTTCATCTGTAAAATCAGAGTGATAAAAGTATCTATTTAAGAGGCTTTTGTGAAGATTAAATAAGTATAATGCAAAGTACTTGAATGGAAACTGGTAAACAAAAATCAATAAATGTTAGCTATTATTTTGACATCTGGAAGTTTTAAGATTCTTCTGTTGTTACACAAAATAGATTTAAATAATTTTTGCTGACAACTTTGTGGATCTACTGTCCCATCCCTGAATACTCCATTTTCATAACTGTTTTATGTGATATGGAAATGAAATTCTATCATGTGTAAAGACCTCTTTCAGTTTCCCTGCTCCTCCCCTTCAATATGGGCTTTATCCTAATAATCTAAGATAGCTGCCAAAGTTCCAGCCATCACAATCATGTTCCAGGCTGCAGGAGAGAAGAAAGGGCAGAAGGAGTCTCTGTGTCTGCTTTTCAATGAGTTTTATTGAAGTATGATTAAATGCAGTAAAATTCACCCCTAAATTTTACAGAGGAAGAAACTGCGACAAAGTTAGAGATGAACTAAAATGTCCAAGGTCATGGAGATGATAAGTAATGGAGCTGGGATCGATATTCAGCCCTGGGTCTATAGTGCCTCTACCACAATGTACCATAAATAAAGTTAAACTACACATGGCAGACATAGAAGGTATTTGTAATAAAGATAACTGATAAACACTGAGTAGTCACAATTCATTTGAGTAAATATCTAGGACCATAATCCTGGA